CTGCGGGATGAATTACTCAGCGTGTCGGTCAGAGAGAGCCGGGAGGTGGGCAGGCCCGGCGCCGCAGCGTCCCCGGTGGTCGGTGGCAATGGGTACTGCGGGGGAACGGCAGAACTGAGGGCCACGGAGGAAACCGGGCCTGAACCGTGCTTGGAAGCGCTGTGCGCGGCGTTGCTGGGCTTTACCTGGTATGGGCTTGGCATTATGGCTTCCTGAAAGTTAATTTGGATTTAATGCCATGTTCGTGGTTATGAACCGTGTATCTGATCACGTTCTGTCTGCATAAACAAAAAACAACTTGCCCTCAAAAAAGAATTGAAGTCAGATGAGAATTACACTGCAGTTGACATTATCTTAATGATGTTGCTCATTTATTTTTACTTTTTTTTTAAGATTTTGGATGTTATACCAAGCAACTGAAAACAAGCATCCAAGTTCCTGAAGATGTCTTCACTAGACAAGCCTGGGATAAGGAATTACTGTATATTGAACCAATTTTGGTATTTCATGAATGCAGTGTACTAAATAGATGTGTTTTGCATATTCAGAACACTTGAGGTACTCTGTACTTAATATGACACAGTGCTCACCTCCTGTAGTGAGACAACTTTCTACTTCATCACCTTAAGTTAACTTCTGGAATTCTTCTGGTATTTCCCATTTTTTTTTCTAGAAGTTTACCAATGCAGTTCAAAATTGTTAATTATAAACTTTTCAGTCTAAAACATTCTACCAAGATCACATGATATGGACAAATCCCAGAATACTTCTTCAGGAAACTCATTAAAAGATAATTACTTAGTAATTATATACTTCGTAGAGTGGGTTTATTTTGGGCAGGTAGTGCTACCTGGTCTATTCAGATGGGCATTGCAGATCATCTTTCTTCTATGCTGAGCGTAATCCATTTTCAGAACAAGTGCAGATGCTGTCATGATCTCTGTGAGAAAGGGGGAAAAAGGAACATGGCAGAAAAGCAATGGCAGTAATGGGCTACGTGGATCTGAGCGATAAGGAAATGCCTTCATTTTCCCCTTACACCTTGGATTGCCTCCACATCACAGGCTGGGGACATGTGAACAGAATGCCTCTGCACGCTGTATCATGCATTGCTTTCTCACTGTTGTATTTACATCACAAAAAAAACCCAAAACAAACAAACAAAAAACTGAAAAAGCAAGACTGGCAAAAGAGGAGAACACTTAAGTCAGAAAAACACTGTCAGGAAACCTTAATGGCTTGTTCCCAAGTAATGAGTTGTCTCAGTTTCTTTTTAAATTGGCTAATAAATGGGGAAATGGGGAAAACACAGGAGAGATGAGGTCTGATAAAGTTCTTAACACAGGTTGCTGATAGTCTGAATTGATTACATTAATGGATTTAAATTAGTCCTTTGGAAAAAAACCCCACAATGTTCTTGGTAAATCTTATTTCTCACATTTCTCAATTTGTGGGCCTGAGTGCACAGGACCAGTCAATACCTTTTTCTCCTGTTAAAAAGAAAAAAAAAAGTAAAAACCCATTCTAGGCTTTGTACATTAACCTGAACTGACTCATGGATGGTATAATCAGAATTTACAGGATTTTCCATGACATACACATGAAGTACTCTTAAATGAGAAATGAAAATCCCACAGTAACTGGTAGAAAAGTTTATTATACGGTGCACACCGTTGTAACCTGAAACAGCAAGTTAAGTAAACATAAGCACACATGCAGTTTGTTTTTTAAACAGATTTTTGAAAACAATTTGCGTTGAAATTTACATTAATGAGTAACACTTTGGTTCTTTTAAGACTGTTTACAAACAAGAAAACCAGAGATTTTTCTGCGTTACACAAGTGAAGCGTATGTACAGGGGAAAATAAATGGGATTCACTGTAATCTAGAAATGGCATTTTCTCTTATGTTGTGGACCATTTTTAAGACACTAAAGGGTGAGTAAATGAGAGACAAGTAATAAAACAAAATTAAATGACATCGATGTAACTGACCGCTCTTGGCTGTGCTTTGTTCTTCACAGAATCACAGAATCTCAGGAGTTGGAAGGGACCTCGGAAGCTCCCCCAGTCCAACCCCTGCCAGAGCAGGATCACCAGACCAGGTCACACAGGAACACGTCCAGGCGGGTTTTGAATGTCTGCAGAGAAGGAGACTCCACAACCTCTCTGGGCAGCCTGGGCCAGTGCTCTGTTACCCTCATAGTGAAAAAGTTTTTTCTTCAGACAGAAAAAAGCTGATCCTACTAATGGCAAGCAAGCAGCCTTCTCACAAACCAGTCTTTAAAGAATTAAGTTACTGGTTTCCACCAGAGGATGTAAACTGAGGTCTGGGATTTGGGCAAACCCTAGTGCAGTTCAAAGGCAGAGAATGCACCTTCTGCAGCTCTACAGAAAACTTCAGCGTGTAAAGCTGAAATGAATGTACCTACTGGATCTACCCGGCAAAGAGAGAAGGTAAAAATGAATAGTTTTAGTTTAAAAATGTATCCTACATCGCCCTCTGGCAACACAAATATTAAATAACATAGTTCCCCTGCTGTGAGCCACACAAAGCTAATTAATTACACGGTGCAAAAAAAAGCAACTGAGACCGTTTGGCAGGCTCTGCGGGTGTGGAGCGAAGCTGATGTGCCCTGTCCACTTTCCATGTGGAACCGCAGGTTTATTAGGATTAATTATTCAGTGCTCTCATAAACCCCCAAAAGTCCATTTTGTGTAGGTGTATCCAAAATAATGAAAACCCACCAGTTGTGACAGGTGAGAGATCCAACCCTCAACGTGAAGCAGCAGTGGATGCATTGTGTTCACTTTGCTGTAGATATTTCAAAATTTTAAAATAAAGCAGTATTTTCACTCAAAAACTCCACTTCGTTCAAGTTGTGAGACCACTTCAAAACATGAACAAATCATGCAAACAAGTCAATCCTGTGAGAAAGTTTTCTAAAACAATTTTATTGGAATGATACAGAAATGGTTAATATACAGGTTAAATCTTCAATGCCTTCCTTCTACATAGGACAAAAAAATAAGAAATCAACAAATTTCGTTCTTGTGCCCTTCATTGACCCAACACAGGCATGGGAAACAGAAAAATCACAGAGGCAACATCTTCCTAGCACTCCTAAATTCATGCAAAGTATCTGCATCGAAATGAATGCACATTTTCCACACAGTCCCACAGCAAAGAGATATTTTCAGTATTTTTCTGTTTGTGTTGGTGCCTTGTTCCCTGACAAAGAAATAATTCAGTCTGTCTCAACAGAGCTTTCTGAGGAATGCTGATGCAGTTTGAACACTACCATATGGCAAGGGTGGGGGACCAGACGAGGGAGGTGACTCTGCTTTCTTAAACTTGGCAATTTTCTTGACCGTCAGATACAGAGATTGACCTCGTTTCAGAGTGTTTTGGGTCACTGAACTGACAGAATTTGGCAACGGCTTTCAATTACAGCTTCTCCAAAACAATGACTAATTCACAAAACTTACACTATGCTTTCCTTACACAGGAAACGCAGCAAATTGGTGTGAGTATAGTGACCTGTGTGTCAAATTCCACTTTTTTCACAAGGCTTTACGTAGTATTCTTCCGTATTTTCTCAAAAACTTGACCACTAGATTAGACATTAAGATTACGCCAATACTGAGAAACAAAGATCACCTCGGTTCAAAAAGATGAAATCATAGTGAACAGTAAAAATCAGACACTACATTTAAAAAGTAACCTAGGTTCCATCCCCAAAAGAGCTTAAATTTCACAAAATTTCAGTAATTACTGATAAAGCCTCTTAATGAAAAAGCACAGATGCAAGTGTTCATCTTGAAGATAAGGCAACATTAATCTATCCCTGCGCCTTTTGATGCTGTGCTTACTTTTGTAAGCACGAGCTTCAAACTGACTCCCAGGCTCCCAAATCAGAAAAGATAAAACGGAGGTACTGATCTGTACCTCCTGCTCCTCTGTCTCCATAAACCAAATAAAACCAGAATATGTGTGTGCAGAGCTATTAGAATGAGCTAAATATAGCAAGGACTAATTACCTTTCTCACTGTCTTTTGATGGTTTGGGGAAATAAGTACATCATCTGGTGCAAAATGCATTTTAAATTACCCACACACTTTTTAAACCTGATTCTTATCCTTCAGGGCACTTGTAATTTGTAATTTTGCAGAATACGGCCAAGAAACACAGCCTATCTCATGAGCACTGGGAGAGCGGACAGGTTAATATTGCACATGGTAAATTCACCAATGCATGACGCTTTAAGAGACTTGCAGTTCCTGTAGAAGCTTCACGATATGGCAATAACAATGGAACAAAAGTTTTTAAACCTCAAAAAAAAGTCTCACTTAATTACAACAGTTCTTGCTATTCAAACATTTACTTCCTTGTTTGAAAAAATACTGTATGAACCTAATGACTGCTTGAATGTGCAGTAAGCTGCCTAATGCTACAAGCAGTGTGAAGTGGTATCTTTGTAGAGAAATACATTAAAGGCTTTCACCCTTACTCAGGTAAGGAAATGCCATTTCTGGCCGTTTTGGCTTATTCGCAACATTGCCTGGGAATCAGTGTGTACTTCACTGAGGTGCACTCGATCTTACACACTGATCAAGTCGTGCTTAGGCAGCTGTGTGATGAACTTGCTAATGGAAAGGCTGTTCATTGCCCCAGATCCCTTTTTCTTTGTCAAAAGAGCCCACATGGATCACTTAAATGAGAAATACATGGCATTATTTTTTTTTTCATCTGTACAGTGTGTTACAATACAAATTTAAATACCCATTCTACAAAAGAACAAACACAACTTTCAAAAGTGACTACAATGGCTATACTACACAATACCACCTACAATTTCATCTGAAACCAGAAAGGACACTGGAAAATTACTGTGGAATTCAGTAACATTTTTGAGGCAGCTCAGGCACTAAAGTTAATAACTGATAAGGTTTTAGATGCTGTTTTTCTGTATTTTAAATAGCTGGATCTCTAGGTATAACCCCATCTGTATTATTAGTACTAAAATAGTTTCTCAAAGTTTACACAAAATGGACAAATTGCCAAGACAGTTTAAACCACACAAAAATTACTCATGTCTAATTGCTTTCATTTCCTATGCTTCCAACTCTGTAATTACACACTCCAAGCTCTTTACCTTTATGTTCACATTTTCCTCTTGTGTTCAAATTTGTTTTATGTTCAGTGAATGCTGCAAGCACCAATCAAATGTTAGAAATCACATCTACGTTTCTCAAAGCAGAGACAATTGTACTACTTTATAAAAAGCTGTGGAAATTCCCTTTACAGAACTTTTAAGGCAGTTGAAGTTCACGCTTGCTGCTTTGCCAGTGCTTCAGCTTCCTGAAACAGCAGAACAGAATTACACGTTAGTGTATTATGAAAGGTGACAACTTTCTCATAACTGTGGTTAAATGGAAAAAAGAATTCTTAATTAATAATAAGTCTCCATATCAAAAAAGTGTACTTTTGACAGATGATTAATTTCATTAAATGCTAGCAGCCGCATGGCCTACAAAAAGATGAGCAGTCACGGTGCTCTCTCTGTAGCACTTCAGGGTGGACAGTGTGGTTTATTTTATAGGAAAGAGTTCAAAGTCTGCTAAACTCAACTTTTATGTAATGGAGTTGTTTGCTCTGGTGACTGCATAGAAATACTGCAGATAACAGACTCAACAATATCACTGTTAACATGAGCCACTTTGCTAAATAAATAAAAAACAAGAGGAGGAAGGACTAAGAAGGGAATTTCCAAGAAGCCTGCAGGCTTGTAAGAGAGGGGGGACAGTGGGTGACCCCAGCCCACAGGGCAGGAAGTACCACGCATATCTCCCTTATCTGAGCTGTGGCGGGTCACTCTGGTTTTCCTGGATATCTGCCCAGGCGCGCTGCATCGTGCTGCCTTTTAATACGGGGGCGTGGGAACAGCCTTGCTGGGATCACTGGCTCAGGTCTGCTGCGCTCCCGGACCGTGCTCTGCTCCTCTGGCTGCACAGTGTGGGTCAAAGAGCAGAGCCAGGACATTACCACACTCATAGGAGGGCATCGTATCAATTCATGGCAGAAAACTCACCAAATCCTCTCCCTTTAAAACCTGAATACCAACCTCTCCCAGGGTTTGTAGATCCATTTGTACTCTCAATGCCCAAACCGCAAACCAAAGCACCAGGGCTCAGTGGTTACTTGCATTTCCCACACTCACTTCTGAGCCCTCCTTGTTTAGCATTAATATTGGACCTTTGTGTTCAGTCAAACAACTTCCCAAATCTCTCATGATGACATTTAATGGAGGTTTGCTGCTGAGGTCCTCTCTTGCAATAGCACACAGGTTGATCCCGGACTCCTTTCATTTTATGGAGCAACATACGCAGTCGCAATGTCATTAACTACAATATCACATCCAAGCTGCATGCAGCTATGCTGTAAATGCCAATTTCTGCATCTACAAATCAGTTTTCTTTCTTGGCAGCAGGCAATCAGCTTGATTTGACATCGTGTAATTGTGGGATGGATACTAGAAGTCAGACCAACAACAGAATGTGCTGGGTACAAGATTGCTTATGCCAAGGTTGTCTTCATCAGCTAAAACACTTCCTCCTGCTGCAGCAAGCTATATGAAAATTCAGCAGAGTACAACTGCATTATGTTTCTCCCTTTTAAAACTCACCTTTTGCTTCAAAGCCACCTCTTAGGACAGAATGGGAGCAACAAAGAGCCATGCAGACTGCTTCTGCAATCTGGCAGCTAAAGTAAGCAGCGATGTTCATAAATGCTATAGGGACAGATGACCTGATTCATTATGGCAGCAACTGCTCTCCAGCACCACTGCGCTTCCCAGATCTCTGTCCCAAGGGGAAACGCATGGGCTTTTCTATGTTTCTTGGTCTCAGGGCTGCCTTCTCGCTCCTTGGCTCCACTCTGCATGCTCATTTCTGCAGCATGGTGCTGATGTTCCAAGAAACTTGAATAAGATTTATGTCACCATCGCACTTGCGTGCAGCCTCCTGATGCCATCAATGCGTGATGCTGGGGCATGTATCACAGGTTTTGTTCTCTGCAACTCTCTGTATGAGGCAGTTTTTCCTCACTACACCATTCACATTCACGGAACTATTGCTAGAAATTACTCTGGCTCCCAAAACTGTTTCAATCCAACCCACAACTTGTAATGCCTAATACTGAGGGATCATCATCCACCTTTAAAATTAGGTCTCTTAGTGATGTGCACAGCATGACCTTCAACTCTTACATGAATAAAGTTGAAAGGAAGCGGCGTGTTTATCCATTGGAACAAGAAAGCTGGAAGTGACCTGGATGATCCTGCTGCTGTCAAGTGAAACGTATAAAGCAGCCTTGTCCTATCCTATCAAAATCAAAAGAATTCCAGCCCATTGCATCCGCAAAGCGGCAACCCAGTTTGTAATTGGCAAAGGAAAACAAGGCTTCAGATAATGAGCTGGAGGAAAAAAATTACTCTGAAGCAAGAGCACATTATTTCAAAAACAGTGACTCTGGTTTCAAGGTATTTTCTAGCAAAAAATCGCATCAAAACTCCACATGAATTAATTTTTTTCACTGAATTAATTCTTTGGTTTTGTGACAACTTTTTCATCTAGATTGCTTGTGCACTCTTCAGTGCAAAAATTAACTACTATTTCACTTGTTCCCGGAGTGTACAATTAAAAAAAACCCAAACAATGGTAAGATACAATTATTACCAGTGAAGAACTTGACCCAGCTCTTCTTTCCCAAGTAACAAAAGCTTTTCCATTAACTTCAAAAAGCACAGGGTGGCTCTGCAGTGAGGATGCAAAAAGAGCACCTGAACTGAACACTGAGCTTTTCTGGTAGAATGAGGGGGAGGAAGATGCCTCTGGGAAACACAGCATCCTCCAAATAAACCAGCACATAACAGCAGCGTGTTGTTGTGATGTTGAAGTCTGAAAGTCTCTGGAGACCGAGTATCAGACCAGCAGGTAGATTCACCAGGGAAACCATAGAACACAAAATATTCTACAATGAGCAGTGAAGAACACAGTGTAAAATACAAGTTGTGGTGTACTGTGAGAAATGTGCACACCTACCTTTGAACCAGGTGGTGCAGTCAAGCCTAAAAACGCATATACCGCATTGTTCTCTCGAGCTTCAAAGAAAGCTTCGTAGTCCTTTGTGATGGGAGCAGGAGGGAACAAAAGACAGGAGAATGAATTGTGAGAAATAATCACTGCTCAGTTTGGTGTTACCCATCCCACACCGAGCAAACTGCTTCCTGTGGCTGAATGCAGAATTCGGAACACCACCTCAGATATTTATCTTTAGCACTGATACCACAGAAATCTTCTAGCTGAAAAGCGACAAGCTGGGAATTTTAGTGTCTGCAGCAACAAGATGCTGCTGTGAGGTGCTGCTGCCTTTCCCTCCTGTAGGAGTGGGCTGAGCCCACACCTTGTCATCAGAAACACTGATGTCCGTAGGTGCCATTGCTAATTACTAGTTTAGTAATGGCATCTGTGCAACCATGGACATTAACTCTTAAACCTGGTAAAAGTTAAAATTTAAACCTGCAAACTGAGAGTACATCTTTTCCCATCATCTTCCCATTAATGATCAGTCTATGCAAATGAAGGCCATCAGGTGGGACTGCTCATTGTACTCAGTGCACTATAATTGCTCTAAATATGCACACAGCCACCTCTCAAGAAAATTAAGGTAAAAACAATGAAATAACAAAAGAAATACCCATGCCTCATTCTCTGTTCTTTTTTACATTTGGGGCAGAATGCAGTGCTGTGTGGATTACAAACACAGCTTAGTTGTCTGCTAAGTGAGGCAGAGCAAGCAAAAAGCCCCCAGTGTGGCTCAGCAACAGAAGTTGCCAAACACCCACCAAATGAACCTAGAAGGTTTGTGCAAGTCCACCACTGTCTGAATTACCACATACTTCCACACTCAGCACATATCTGTCCTATGACTCTCCTTCTCTCCCTTTTAACAGGGGCAACAGTGTCAGCTTTCTCCAGCTTTACTGGGGAACAATTTGATGCAGGAGCCCTGAGTGAGGAAGCCAAGCAAGGCAGCAGCTCAGAGCAGGCTCAGTCTCAGGCTGAAGGCAAGGAGAGAGCTGCGATTAAGAGCACGCTGCTTCACACGCTTGTCTGGCTGCTAGGCAAAAGCCTAAGAAATAGGAAATTATATTTGAAAATAGCAGTGTGTTCAGAGCAGAGACAGGTCTAAGAGGCCATTGCAGCTGGGACAGAAGAAAGTCCAGGGAGCAGAGGATTCAGCTGCTGGCAGATCAAGGATGTCAAATTATTGTTCGCTTTGTACACGTAGCATTGGGGTGCTAGTTTGATAAAAACGTGTATGATGATGTTAAATTCTCCCTGAAGCCCTTCTGTTGACAGTACTGGGGCTGCTTGATAACAAAGGGTTGTTTATCTTGCTGATGCACAGTCCAGCAGCCTGCTCTGTAGCACCTACCAGGAGAGGAATGCCTGTGACTGAGGAGCAGGGTTCATGCCAACTTCCCCAGCATCTACAGTTACAGACTTTCTGCTGTGCACAGGCCAATAAAAGTCAATTTTGCTCATTCCCCAGCCAGTTATGCTGCATCAGATGAAACAAACAGGGAAGTTCATTATAGAGATGGATCAGATAAAGTCACAGAGGTTCAAGCATGTGGGATTAACTTTTACCTTCTTGAAAACTAAACTGTAGTAACTTGAATCCAGCTACACAAACTGACCCAAGTTCACAAGTTCGAAGTGACAGCAACCAAAATTTTGGAGATGAAATAAACTCACAGCAAGAACTGGTGTGAAGCATCTATATCCCTCTCCCCAAAGTTACCGTATAAAGAACTGTCATGGGTTGCAGTTGGGGATATATGAGAAGCATCTCTGATAAGCAAACATCCAGACTGAGGTGCCTACAGCTTTTTCTCCTCCTGTCTCACACCTCTGTGTAGCAAAGCCCTGCTGTGCTGCACAGCTGCAGCAATGCAGCAGAAATGTGGCAACATTTCATTGACAAAGGACAACTGCACAGTGATCTGCTTGCATCCCTAAAGCTCTGGTACAACAAGGGAGAAAGGTGATACTGTTGCAACTGGACTTCCTACTTGTGTGCAAATATTTGCCTCTTTTTGTTTGTTTGTTTGTCTTTAAAGAGAGACAACTGCACAGAGCTTTTCAACTCTTCGTGACCCTTCTCAGCTTTCAGCTGCAGACAACTATTGATCGTTACATTTGTTGCTCCAAACCAATCTTCTTCCATGTCACAACCACAGTCAGTAAAATTCTGAGAGCCCAGTGTTACATTGGCTCACTGTGGATATTGTTTCAAGTTCTGCTTTTATTATGAGCAAGAAAAAAATCCTGGCACATTGAGAATAATTTCTTTCAGTAGCCTCAGAATCCCCTCACAAAGGTCCAGAAGTATCAGGTTCTGACTTACAGACTTTGCAGGTCAGGACCAGGCTGCAGAATGACTTAAACAGAGGAATGCATACTGCGAGCTCTTTTCAGAAGATATTAAGTTTTAAAAATAAAATTAACAGTTAATCTAATAATCATTCAAGCATGGCCTGCTGAGTAGAAGTGCTGCAGGGCAACTTACTTTTGATCAAGCATTAAAATAGGAAAGCATTAAAGTAGGAATTGTATTTGCAATACAAGTTTTAATCTGTTCAAGGCATTGGAGTAAGTGGACCGCAACAGCCTTGATTTTGCAAGCAGTACATAAAAACTGATCCCAAGAAGGATCAGAAATCTGCTTTATGGTCATGGCAGACATTACTGCATCTGAGCACTGAATTTGGAAGATGGACAGACTACAGACTGATCTGAGATCCACACATACTGGCAAATCCCGTGTAGACAGAGCAGATCTTTGAACTTGCTACAGAACATGGGGTTGACACAACAGTGTCAGATTTCTGTGAAGTGTTCACAGTCACAGTGAACATGAGAATTAAAAAAAACCTTTAAACTTTCAGAGCTGTAGATTAACATGCAGCTGGCCAGGTCCTTGCTGACCGCAACAGCAAAGCACAGACTTCAGCAGTGAGTAAGAAGACCGGGACGAGAAGCGATGGGGAGCTGGAGCCGTCGTGCCTTACCCCGAGGTAGCGGCTGTCGTTGAAGAGCCGGGGTGGCAGAGGGTTCCCGCTCGCTGGCCGGCTGTCCTCAGGGACGTTCTCGCGCATCCATTTCCGATTCTCCTCGTTGGCAGCGATATCCTTTTCCTCAAATTCAATTTTGTTGGCTTCCAAGAAACCTAACACATCTTGTTGCTGCTTTTTAATCTGTCACAAAAGAGGGAGGGAGGAAGAAAGCAAACAAAATCAGTCAAACCATTTTTTCTGCTGCCAATTATGCGATTCTGCCGTTCAATAGGGAAACAAGGGGGTGAAAACAGGTTGAAAATGGAAGTGGTAAGAAAATTCTTAGAATAAAAAAGTATCTTTTAAAGAGTCATATTTGAGCCTTGACTTAGCTCCCTTATAATTGAAAAGCTGCAGTCTAAAAGACACTGTCCCTATACACATGCAAGTGTTGTGAACCCTGAAGGACTCCAATCTAAAGCAAACGTGCAAACAGTCCCCTTGCAGAGGCTGCACTGTCCAGGCCTTAAAATTAATTTAGGTGACTGTTGTTTTTTCAGGTGCAATGAAGTTTGCTGGAGGGACACATGAGCTACAACCTGCTTCCTTCCTGTCTCTGGAAGCACAGGCTGAACCCGCCTATCCCAGGTTTTTGTACTCCTCACGAAGGCGACACGCTTTGCTGTGGGCACTTCCCAACAGAGATCTGAGAGTCACCATTAAGATCCCAAAGCAATTTTGGCTCATGTTTCTTTGGACTAAAAAACCCCTCTTCTGCTCTGCTTCCAGACTTCAAGGGTGGCAGGTACGGCCATGACTCGCATCCCCCATCCTTGCTGGTCTCACGGAGAAGTCTCCAGGTCTGGCTGCGCATCCTGGATGAGATCCCACTCCTGATGCATCCCATCCTCTGTGCACTCACACAGCACTCAAGTGAAAAGCAGGATCTTGTACGGCAAAGACTGTGCTGGCTTTTTAAAGGAAAGGTGGTTTTTATTACTGTCACATATGAGTTATTGACTTCCTGATACACAGATCTTCTGCTTATGCTCTGTTCTTCCTCTGCGTGACTTTCCCACCATAAAGGAAATTATAACCATGCACATCCCGGCAAACAATAAAAAAAATGGGATTTAATGGGAAATTTGTTCTCTTCAAATTATTCCTTTTGCTACAAAACCAGTCCAAGGCCTGGCCTTAATCTAACTAGCTCAGTGCAACAAAAGCAGCGCTTTCATACAGATGTTGCACTGCTTCCAATTCAGGGCAGCCACCAGCTTCCCCCAGCAGCCTCTCCATATACGGCCAAGGGAAAACAGGCAGCTCCCGGCGAGCAGCGCTGAGGTCAGGGCACAGCCGAAAGCCAAATATGGTGCCTGTGCCCCCGGTGTGCACAGCCCCGCGCCCCCAGGAGCTGCAGCGAGGGTGCAAGGTTTTAGCGTTGGAAAAGGACTGCCCTGGAAGGGCGCGGTTTTGGGAGAGCTGGGCACCTGTGTACCCTTACACAGAAGAATATTGCTGGGCATTTGCTAATTCTCATCCCGGCTAAAAAAGAAATAAATATGGACAAGTTAATACCACCCCGAGGAAATAGTTCGTGTTACAGGCTGCATAGGAAAACATTTCTCAGCAGACTCAAATCTACCCGTAAGAGATTTCTTTGCTTGCTGTTAATAAGAGGGGTCACAGCAGGAGGGAGCGATCAGGCGAAGTTTTTCTCCATCGTGTCATACAGCTCAGAGAAAAATAAAAGTGAGCGCTTCCTTCATGAACTGTTCTGTAGGACTACAATAAGGGAAGGGTCTTGGTAAACTCCTCTGGCAGTGGTCAGTATCTGAGGCAACACACTGACCTGGGAATAAGTGGAATTTTTTCCTAGTTATATATTAATTAGGTATAGCTAATTATAACTAATTATAACTAGTTATATTTTAATTAACCATTTCCCACCACTTCTAAATTACAGATTTCCTTAGTCTTAGGTCCTTACCTTGTACAAAAATCCACTGCTTAGTGAGAACACACATTGAGATGGCTCAGGATTTAAAAAAAAAAAAGTTTTTATGCAAATCACTACTAAACGACACATTCTGCCACACAAAACAAGAGTTCTATGTTCGACAGTAATTTGCATTTGGATCTCCTGAGAACTCTCTCTATATTTACTATGAGATTGCCTCCTAGCCATGTATACATCCACTCATTCCTCCCAGCATCTCAGCTCAGTCTCACAGTGCAACCACTGAAGAATTGTAAAGAAAAGCAGTTGATGCAGGAGTTAATTAGTTTGAAACCCTTCTTTTCTTGCCAAATTTAAAAAAACCAACAAGTTGGAAGATTAAGAGGCGACGTCTTCCAGACAAGCCTTACAACTACAGTCACAAGAACTTACACAAGAGCATTAAATCTCCAGAGAAACGTGGCACCAACCACTGGGCAGAGCCGACATGGAGCTGCCAGACTGCATTACTTTAAGGGATTTTATTTAGAAAACTTCTATTAATCTCAGGCACTGGAAATACCACAGAAAATTCCCAAAATAGAGCAAGAGACGCCTGCTGCCGCTTCAGAGTATTTTGTCTTACTTGAAAGGGCACACATTCTCCTCAGGACAAGAGTCTGGAAGATGGTTCCTGCTGCCCATGTTTGGGAAGGAGCAAGGAGCCTTTCTTCAGGATCCGCCTGTCAACGCGCAGCACTTGCTTTCCAAAAAAAGCTCTCAACGAGGCATGGACACCGGCCAGCGCCTTTCCAGATACCGCACCTCATCCTCTGCAAACAACTGTCACGTCTGAAGTTATTTTGGCCTGTTCGCTGCAGTTTGCAAACATGAAAATCCCTGTTTATACTGAGTGCTCCTGACACATTTTGCAGGGCAGAGGGAGCCAGCAGGGAGCTGGGGACATGCGTGCAGGTCCTGCTGGAGCTCAGAGCTGCCCTGCATGGTGAAATAATGTCTCCGTGAAAGGCAGTTTTGCTCACAAATGGCTTTACCCCCACCCCCAAAAACACACACCTGGTTTCTCAGCCTGAACACACTGATTGAGGGGGATTCTTGTGGGAAAAACAGCTAAAGTTACTCAGGTGAGTGGAAACATTTGACTTTTTGCTGATGCTGCAAGGATAATGTTGAAAGGAAACGTTTCACCAAATGAATCTACTTCAACTTGGTTTGGGCATTCACTGTCTGTACCAAAGACAGAAATAGCTTTATGGCAAATGCTTGGAGGTTAAGAAAAGGTTTCACCACGGACTTATAATCTTGCGCATACAAAATCTACACACAAGCAACATCACAAACTCAGGCTTCCAACAGACTCTTTTTTTAAGATACCCTTGGGTGTCAAGATTCTCCTCCTTTCCAGTTAGAAGCCAATCATGAAACACTAAGCTTTCAACAAAACACGTGCATAGAGTAACATTATGAAAATAAGTAGTTTAGGGTTATTGTCCCTCACTTAAATACACATCAGAAGTTAAATTTAGTGGGGAAAAAAAAAAAAGAACTCAACAAAAAGATAAGAAACAGAAAGGAACCAGGGATGATGCTGCAGGAAGTGATGCTCCATCCCCACCTCCGGCCAGGGCTTTAAACTGGCTGTCCCATAGCCAGCTCCTCCGAGCACTACCTGCTGCAAGGAAACAGTATGCTTTATTTTAAATACTTTATTGAAACGTTCTTCAAAAAAGTTCCTGTCTGATTGGTACACGCAGGCACACACATACAAAAGAACAGTCTAGTTTGCACTGATGGCCAAGACGGGCTTGTGGGTTTACATCTTGTTATTTTTCCAGTTTATAAATAAATTCCTTGTTGGACAATAGACATGTTTTGGAAATCTATTTATGGACCACTGGAACCCAAAATCAGTTCACAGTCTGAGCGCTGCTCTTTTGATCACCCAACAACTTCCCCATGTGGACAATGCGGCTGCAGCTCTGCAGGTCTGGCACTGGCCATGGGGTGTTCTCCTACATTTCTGTGGGTCCTCTGTCCTAACCTTCCTGCAAAGGAAAAACATAGATTTCTTCTTCCCCCAAAGATGCAATTAAATGGCTCATACATTGTTGAGAGAATTTAAAAGAACTTTTAAAGAGATTTCCTGTAAAGTTCCCAGCCATGGTTATATCATCGCTTACAGCATCCAGCTCCTGCTCAGCGCATGGCCTGAGCAACACCTTACAGACACCTGTATCTTACACACTTCTCAATTTAAAGACAAAACCAGCTTTACAAGGTTTTTTTTACCATTTCCAATTCCAGCCTTCTGGGTTCTAGATAAGGAAAAGCAACCACGTCTTCGAGGCGGTTGTATTTTTAAGCCAGCGATGGTTTTGAACATGCTGCTACATCATTAGGGAGGCAATTCTTTAAATCACAGGGGATATCTGCTTTGTGCAGAATAGCAAAAAAGTTCAACTCCCCCGACGATGGTACTGTTTGTCGCCAGACTTGTAACCATTAGTTGTTCAAATGGTTCAGTGCCCTTTGAAGATTGATAAACTCCAATTTAAACAGCAAACGGGAAAAGTGCAGAGCTAAGAAATCCTCAGCAAACTCCAGTGGCAGCCAGCAGTGCCATCCTTCTGCTCACTGCAGCCGAGGTGAAAACACCCAAAAATGGGTTTTCTTTGGAGAAGCCACTTTTTGACATTTAAAAATATGTTTTGGGGTTTTTTTTGTTGTTGGCTTTTTTTATTATTTTTTGTTATCTAATTTCTAAAATTATAATGCCTTCCCCATGAGAGTTCCTAATGTAGAAGCTAATACTTGCAAATTAGCTGCAAAATGCTTCTAATTTTGCCTCCCAGTACAACATAACTTGTAGGAGTTAGAGAGCACGGCAGCTCAGCTCTGAATTTAAATGTCACGGATTCCTGTGAGCCCTCCTAAGCTTGTTCTCCACCCCCAGGACTCCCTTCAGAGACAAAACACCTCCGAGCAGGCTTGGTCCTGGCTCCATCAGTGTTTTATCTGTTTTTATTGCAATATTCGAGGAGTAACTTCTTTGTATGAAGTTGTTTTAGTTGGTTTTATTTGTATAAACAAGCCAGACTCCCCACCACCCCCCTCATTGGCTTAAAATTCAGAGAGGCCAGTTCTGGTGGTGCTGGTGGCCACCATCCACTGTAAGTGGTGGTCAAAGGGGGGGAAACTTTGCAGGCTGAGATGTCTCCCAGTGATTTGTGTCTCACTGACTTCTCCCTGATATAATACCTACCTATTTTTAGGTCTGGGCAATTATCATTACAGAACTCAACCTACTTCTTTGTTCTGGCTATTTTAAGCCCAGCATTACATGTAGTAATGGCATCGTTCTCCCGCTGCTTGGTTTCTGGTCTGTGAGGAATGAGATTGAGGATAAACACAGCAAAACCACCATGAATTGATGCAACCTAAATCAAACACAGGAGGCTGGAAAACCTCACACTGTCCTTATGCTGCCTTTTTTTTGCAGAAATTAATGTCCAGATGGGCTCCATATGCACTTACCCTCCAGGGCCCTTTGGGAAGCCCATGGCACATCAACATGTATCCTGCATAGCTGCTACAGCAGCCTTCTCTTGATGTGGTTTGCCCTCAACAGCTTAAAAGTTGTTTTATTTGGATGTGGTTCTCACCACCGGGCGCCCACCAAGCCCGGGTGATTCCTGTTTCTCACATGTGGTTGTGGAAGACACTTTTTTAAAGCAGAAAAAAGTCCTGGGGTGAAAGGATGCACAACCCCTCAGAGCAGAATTAGGGGAAAAAATCCAGGGTAGCGTAAGGTTTTTGTAGCCTAACCTGCAGGTTGCATCACGCTGGGAAGCATGAGGTCTGCTTGCAATGGGGCATTATCCAGGCATAAGGTACGCACACCACAGATCAGATTTTGCAGCACAAGCCAAGAATATAGCTAAAACAAAGGACAAAGCCTCTGCTTCCCACAACAAGACCACAACTTGCTCCAGAAACTGTAGAAAGTTACATAAATGGAAAAGCTGATTCATGAGAACAAAAATAAAAGCTTCTCTTATGGATTATAATGCCATTGTAAGTGCATGCATTCAATAACCCAGGGCCTAAAAA